TGATGATGGTGTGTTGATGATGGTATGATGATGATGATGTTGTGATGATGGTGTAGTGATGATGTTGTGTTGATGATGGTATGATGATGATGATGTTGTGATGATGGTGTGGTGATGATGGAGTGGTTATGATGATGTGGTACTGATGATATGGTGATGCTGATGATGATGTGGTAATGGTGTCATAATGATGATAATGGTGTTGAGATGAGAGCTAGTTTAAAGCAAGAATCAATCTGATATTCGATTGTTTTTTTATTTTCTAGTGCAAAATTAAGAAAGGATCTTTTAGAGAAAAAGAACAAGAACAAAAATTATAGTTCAGCGACACTGCCAAGATCTTTCAGTGTAAGTACTATGATATATTAATAATAATATAATAAATAACAAGGAATTTACAGTGGTTCCACTGGATTCAAATAGACTTGGGTGCAATGTTTTCCCATTTCAGACCACACGTCATTCTCTTGAGAATAAGATTCTTTGTTAGAGTTGTATCCATATTTATGTGTAATCTCATGCACATCCGCTAAATAAAGAAATAATACTCCAGGGAATGACACACTGTCTGAAATGGGACAATGTGAAGCCCAAATCGAAGTCCAAGCCTATTGGAATTTAGRAGGTAATTTTTGTGGATGGAGGGGAAGAACAGAAGAACCCAGAGAAAAATCTTGCAAGCACAGGAGAGAACTAACAGGCAAGACTTAACACAGCTCTGACATGACTATGAATTTAAAAACCATGGGCTTGAAATGACAGTCGTGATGACTAGCAAAGTTGTTTTAGCTGGTCATACGTCGTTTCTGGCTCAAAATGTTAATACATACTGCTATAGACCCCTTACATGTGACGTCAGCTCAATGTGGGGGACAAAACAAAAGAATTTCAATCTCCTGAGAATTGGAACCTATTGTTTTGTCCYCCAGATTGAGCTGCATTCCAAAGTGCTGCAAGGGGTCTATTCTGGTCAGTTATTTTGTGATGAACCCTTATTGATAATACTACTAATGGGAAGTTCTCATAAAGCACATTTCACATGGTCTCAATACCCTTTACATTTTATGTACTGTTCAATAAACTCGCAGTGTTTTATCAGGATTTAAAAACACAAGGCATAGCCAAGTGTTCTTAGACCCGATAAAACACGATCTGCGAGTTTATTGAACAGCTTCAAAAACAGATGATGTATGTTCTCATATTGTACTGAATTCTTTACGAAATGAACCAAATTTGATAGAGAAAATCCATCAAGTTAAAGTTTATGCAAATGAAGACGAATCTATATCAGATATAAAATTGCCTTCATGGTCATGATTTCTGTTGTGTTTCCTTCATGAATTATTAATGAGTTTTTGAAGAACAGTTGAGGACGTTATGGGCTGCATATTAAGGCACTATTAGCAGCCATACAGCTTACAATAATAAATGAATTGGTAGTATATTATTGTTATGCCTCCAAATTGGGATAGGCTGTTTAAACCCTTGCATCTAATCCTTACTTTGAAGATGATGCAGTATTTCACTGTTCAAGAGTAGGAAGCTCTTTTTTAATAATCTATATTAATAATCTAATAGGTATTCAATCACTGAACATCTTTTTTTCCACAGAGATCTTCAACTTACAGCAGCCTGTATAGGGACTATAATGAAGAGGTGAGTATGCTGTTTCTTTCTTTGTTTTTTATTTTTTATTTTTTATTTTTTCTATTGTTTCTCTATACCACCATAAATGGAAACTAAAAAGAAAATAGTTAATGCACATACATGCAGTAATAATGATATAAAGAACATGAGGGTTGGCAGGACATGAAAGAAGCGTTATGCRAAGCATGTCTCATAAGAGGGTGCTTCTCAACACTTCTCGAGTGTTCTGCCAATAACCACACACCAAATACTCAGAATTTTTGTATTTCTTTTAAATACCAATTGAGAAAGCGATKAATTTGGATATGAATGATAAAATAGAAAATTTTTGTGTGTGAGCGTGCTGTGTACTTTTATTAAGCACATATCCCAACCAATCAGAAAGGGAGATTTACTACATAACAGTTATTTCATAATACTTATATTAAACTAAACACAAATATCTTATAGCTTCTCCCAAGTTCCACCTATACTACACCAGGACAAGGATATGAGGTAAGCACTTTATAGAACCTGTATTTATAACCCTTTAAACTAACTTGTAATAAACTGTCTGGCAGTAGTTATAGTAGTAAAATGATTTTGTAGCCGCTATTCTACTATTGACCACCCTTGAATTTACAATCTGTAATAGGTCACTTGCATTATAGCGTCATTTACTACGACTCACAGTATTGCTTGCACACTTTCCTTTGTTCACTTAATTAGCACTAGTTGTCATACTATTCTCATGAGGAAATACAAATTTCAATAAGAAAGAAAATTTTGGTAGGGATGGTAAAATGACGCCATCATGGAAACGGCCTAGAGTAGGAAGT